TTTTTTTTTAAATGTCATTAGATGTGCAACATCAATAACGGGGCTTAGAACGCCTGGTTTTATACACATGGCATACGCATAGTATAGTGGGAGCCGGTGAGAGCTCGGATTAAAGTGCATAAGTGAGTCTCATCTCATTTCATGGTATGACATGGTAGAATTTCAACAATGAATTGCATATTCTTGTTTTGGATGGTTGTTGTTTGTTGAATGTTGCATGTGAATATTTCATATGCACTTAGGTTGGGAAGTAGCCTTTTTATGAGATACCTTATTGAGCATAGCTCACCCTTTATGGGACAACATTTCAAGTGCGACATATGCGCAGGCGAACGGCTCTTAATCGGGCCCCATGGTTGAAGAAAAGCCAAAATGTGGCTTTAAATGATGTATTTGCAAAACTAGACATGTAAGTTAGTTTTTGGCATGTAATGTATGTAAAACAATTATAATTTGAACTTGTATTAACTATATTTGATGTGTTTATAAGTAACAGTCATACATATCGCATTGTCATAGTGGTACATGTCGCATTGGCACAGTGATACACGACAATGTCATAGTGCTGCAAGCAAATGTCATACTAATACTAGCCTATGCCACACTGATATAAGCCAATGTCACACTGACATTAGCCTATGTCACTCTGCATACATTAACATAGGACCCTCGCTTTTAGGGGCGTCACAAATATGGATAAATGGACCCAGTGTGGTTAATGTTGTATATTAGACCTCGTATGAGTCATGTGATTGTATGATTGTACAGGTTGTGTTTTGGGTAGAGCTCCCCGTACAAAGAATACTCTGCCCGAATTTTGTTAAATTATGAATTCTAATAAAAGGGGTATAACGGGGTGATATCAAATTACACGGTATTCATGGGTATTCTACAAGTTGATGGGTGATCAACTGGTAGACAAACCCCCCCCCCCCAATTTTTGGGGCGTCACAATAAGGCTAGTAAGCTAACCTATCAACTACATGTGCCAACGAGAGTTATACACCACCTGGAGTAGAACATTATGCTTCTTACCCTGAAAATTAAAATAGACACCCTCTAGTGTATAAGTAGTGACCATCTTCCGATCATAGTCAATGAGGAATCAAACTCTGTCATATCCATGACCCTAAGGTCAACCGAGAGCTAGATCCCACTGATCTCTAACTCATAAACACGAAATATTCAATTTATATAGACTATGGCTCCTAATGGTAAAATTATCTGACTTATTTGAAAGTAATTAAAATAAATTGTTCAAAACATTATTTTTTTTTTTAAAGTACTTATGAGAAGTTTTAAGTCCTATAAGCACTTTTTGAAACGTCACCCCAAACATACCCTTAAGGGTCTATTTTCTATATTAAATTTGGAGAGTTAAATATTAGTCGTTAGATTAAGTTTAAAGTAAAATTTAAAACGATCACAACCATAAAAAATAAAAGTTATTTTTTATGTCTTCAATCTTTGTACTTTATTTTTTTTTTTTTGGGGTAAAGAATTATCTCACTCAAGTGACAGCTAAAACCGTGATAATGTCCTTGAAGCTCCAAGGGAAATGGAAATACAAAATAAAAATATATACTTTTATCCCCTCAATTATGGCCTTTGTCTCACACTTCCCTCTTATCTATAATTTTCTCACATGTTTTAAGTTGCCCCAGGAGTATGATTTTTTTTTGCGTTTTATCCCAATCTGTCCAAAACATAACAGATGCTTTGTTTTAGAATAATGTGAAACCAATTCAAATAGTTTAGAGAACAATCCAAACTCAACAATTAATTGACCAAAGCAAAATCATGATCATAGTTTATAGGTTCAAAATGTAATTCTCCCTGGAAGGAGTTTAGGTTCAAAGAAGAAAAAACCAAAGTCAAGATGTCTTTGAGTTCAGGGCGGAGCCTGGAATTTTTCATAATAGAGGCAACCATTATGTTGAAAAAAAACAATTGGACGACGATCATCAATACTCGTTGCGCCTCACAATAAACAACTAGAAGGCTTGTCTACAGTCAAATTTGGAAAGAATTTCGATTGATCCATATTGGATCTAACTATCCAACGAATTTATTAATGACATTTCAATTTCAATACGATATCGTTAAATAATCACTCAACTTTAATTAGTATATATGTGTATGGCATGTATATATAAACCACATTGGATCACAATCAAATTCAATTTTAGTATATCTTTATCTGTATAAATTTGCCTCTAACTTTTTAATTGGAACAAATTCTAAATAATTTTAAAATTTTCAAAAATTTTCAAAATTAGTTTTTGAAAATTAATGTCAGCACTCTAGAGAGTATCTTGTGACCGGCATTGCAATTTGAAGAGATAGGTGAGAACTTGACAGGAGCCAACAATAAAGTAGGCCGATTTGTTAATAAATATACTAATGGAAGTAACCAATAAACCAAATGAAAGAAGAGAGTGTTGGTGAAGAAAGGGCAGACACCGAAAGTTCGAATGAAGAAGATAAGTAAGACGTAAAAAGTGAGGGTGAGGCTGCTAAAATTTTATTTTAATGGTTTAAAAATTACACTAATTCACCCTATACTTTATGAAAATTTCAGTAGGGGCAAGATTTGAAATTTTTTGAAATTTTCAAAATTTTATATAAGTCCAAAATTTTTTGGCAAATCCGCCCTTGCTTGAGTTGATGAGTTTGACCGTCGCAAGCGAGAGATTTTTTTTTTTTTTAGCAATACTATTTAAACTTTATTTTCTGACTTAATCATTTATAATCATTAGATTGACAGTGAGACTCAGTATTTGGTGGAGCTCGCTTCCCATCCAATAATTGTGATGAATTAAATCAATAAATTATGTTAACAAATTAAGTTCAAGTAATATTATTATTTCAATTTACAAGTGTGATTGAAAGACCCTTTCAATTTTTTTATCCATATTAGGGTAATCCATACAAAGCACGGTCAAGCATGTACAATATTTTTTCAATATAATTTAAAATATAAGTGGGTGGTTAAAATATATTTCAACATATTTATTATGACTAAAACACAGATGAATAGATTTACAATTGTCAAAATATGAATTATAAGATAAATTGTTTGATCATAACTCCAAATAATATAGGTGGTGGTTGTGTTTTAGAGCGACTCCAAAGGACACGGTGAAGAGTCCTTCTTAGCCATTTTAGATAGCTTTTCCTAAAAATTTGACTCCAACAAACTATCTATTCCATTATCTATTTTCCATAACCCACTTTTCACTTGCTAGTTCTGGCAAGCCACTTTGTTGTTTCTTGCGCCAATTTCCTCCTCTCATCTCCTCTCTTTCTCTCTCTCTCTACACACACACACAAGCTACACAGCACAGAAGCTCCATAGCACCCAAATTTCAACTTTATCAATCATAGAAGCTTCATCATCCACCCAGGTATGGAATTCTCTCTCTCACATAAATATGTATACCATAGAAAAACCCACAAAAAATCTACCAAAAACTCATTGAAATCCCACAACAAAAAAATCCACAGAAATCCAACCAAAAACCACTGAAATCCCAGCAAAAAAACCCACTGAAAAACCTACCGAAAAAACCACGAAACGAAATTTGTCTCAGTTCCCACTGAAAATCGACTAAACCATCGAATATGTCTCTCAGTTCTCTCTCTCTGTCTTTACTCTGTTCCGATTTGGTGGAGAGAAGAAATTAGAGGTAATGAAATTTTCTTATTATGAAAACTTTTGCTTGAGTTATGTGGAATGAGATGCTATGGTCCATTCCTTGGGTTGTGTGGAATGAGTTGCTTGGAATTTTGTGTGGGTAGTGTGGAATAAGTTGTTTGGGTTGTCTGGAAATTTTCTATGATATTTTTTTTGGAATTTTTCTGGTTGGCTATGAATTTTTTTTGGAATTTTTCTGATTTTCTGGTTTAGCAATGAATGACAAAATCTAAGAAAATGGTTTGAACTAAAAATATGATATGTGAAAATTTGTGAATTGTGGTTCAATTAATTAAAGCTAATTGAAATAGTTAGTTGAAATAGTTAGTTGAATTAGTAGTAATTGTTCTCTAAAATAGATAATGTAATAAAAATATATATTTTGAGTAGTTATTTTAGCTAGTATCGTTGGCGCTGCCCTTATGTCATCAAGAACGCTCTATTTTATTACATAGATAAATAATATACCTGTGATTGATTACTAACAGACTAAGGCATCAGTTTTCAACAATAGAAATTTCAAATAATGGTGTTGCATATTATGTAACTACTACTATTTATATTTTGGCTGAGGGAATGATGCCAAGGAATTAAAAATGGAAGGGGATTCAAGGGTGATAATGAATACAATATTATTCATCATGCTTTGTGCATTGGAGTCTATATGCAACACTATTGAAGAGCTTAACTTAAGTTGCAAATATGTAAAGACATACATTTTGATCACATGTATAGGAATAACGTTATCAGAACCGGATGGGTCATCGAACCGGCAAAGGAACCGAATCAATGGTTCGCTATTCAGCCGTCGAGTCAACTGGTCGGCCCGGTCATATAATAAAATAAAATAATTTATATGTATGTATTATAAAACATAATAATTTAGCCAAAAAATATAAAATGTGCCTAAAATGCATAGAATTTGCCATAAAATTAATGAAGTTAAGTAAAAGAAAAAATCCACAATGACAACAAAAATTCCAATTCACAATCCCACAATCTCAATTCATAAAATCCACAAACAGACAATAATAGCACATTAACATCAATAATAGACCATTTCAATTGCATCAACCTATGTCAACTCAGTCCACATAATTCACTGATGCATCAACCTAATACTTCTGAGGTAACATAACAAACTAGCTACCATGATGCATTTTTATTGTAAACCCACTCCATTTTGTTTTTTATTTTTTTTGTCATTAATCAATACTTTTTGTTTTATTGGAAGATTTGCAACAGGATCTGAAGATTAATTTTAGGAAAATTAAAGGACACCTCCTGGAGAAAGGAGAAAGGAGAAAGGAGAAAGGAGGAGAGGACAGCCATTTTACCTTAACGATCTGGAGCGGACGCCTGTGTTGTCACCTCCTTTAGCTGTTGTTCGTCGTCGGAGAGGTCACCTGAGTTGTCGCCTCCGCCTGAGTGTGGCGCAGAGCAGTAATCGCCTGAGTTGTCGCCTTCGCCTGAGTATCGCACAGAGTAGTGTCGCTGGAGAGAGAAGAAGCTGCCTCCCTGTCGCTTTGTCGCGCAGAGCAGTGTTTCCATATTTGTTGCCTCCCTGTCGCTGGAGAGAGAAGCTGCTGCCTTCTATTTCTGCGAGATTTATGGCAAAATCAAAAAAATAGCCCAAATAAAAATTGAACTGTTCAATTTTATTTTTTTTAGTTTTATTGATTTCAAACCGTCTGGTTTAAAAAAAACCTTCCAGTTCACTGTTTTCTCCAAAAAAACCAGCCAGTTTGGCAATTTTCATCCGGTTCCCATCCTTATCCGGTTTAATAGTCAATAACACTGTATAGGAAGCTAACAAAACAGCAGACAAAGCACAGGGTTACACTTCAAAAGAGGGTGACAATAGTCCTTTTATAGCCTGGTTATCAGTCTGTATGATGTTCAATTTAACTTATTTCCCTTCTGTAACAGCTAAAACATGTTTTAAAATCGTGAGCCCACGGACAAAGCAAACGTGTAGAGTAGCAAAATTGCTTATTACATAAATGTGTATAGATAACTCTAAACATATACAAGAGTAGCAAAATTGCACGAAGAACAAGAAGATAGTAAAACAAATATTGGTTATTACATGTATATGAGAAAACTTGAGGGTTCAAGTTGTACCATCTTTATGCATACGGGTGGATGAAGCATCGACAAATACACAATATTGTTGTAGTGATAAGCATGTCTCACCTTCCTTCTCCAATGATTTCATACAGCATTGTCTCAGTCAAATTAATTGGAGAGGGCACTGCGTTAGTGTTCGGATCGGATGGATTATCGACCTTATTGTCTAGTAGGGGGCTACTACTATTGGATGGAGCTGATGATGGACTTTCTCCATCCAAAAAGCTATCGGTTATATCTTTGAAATCCCAATCTGTCAAATAACTTGGCTTTGTTGTAGTGGTGCTCACTTCAATGTGTCCAGCAAGCATAGCAATGACACGGGACATGGGTGGCCTCATCACTGGTGATGCTTGAGTACACAAAAGGGCCACTCCTATCAACCGAATGGCTTCATTTTCGTCAAACACTTCCAGAGTTGGATCCACAAGATCCAGACTTTGGTTGTTTTCGTGTAGATTCCAAGCCTGAAAAAATCATTTAGGTAAGTGTATAGGAAAGAAATTGCCTCTTTAACCATGGTATCCATGGAAAACTCCTTCCATTTAATCTTTTCTAGTAAGTAAATAATAATTCTCTTGCCATACCCATTCAAGAAGATATTTTCTTTTGCTGTCCAAGCTATGATCAGAGTTGGGTCTCCCACTGAGGATCTCTAGACAAACAACCCCAAATCCAAACACATCTGCCTTTTCCGTCAGATGCCCTCGAAAAGCATACTCTGGTGCTAGATAGCCACTGTAGAATCAAGTGACAGAGGCTTAGTTGAGGTCAACTACAGGTTTGGTGGTTTGGCGGATTAGCGAGCAAGCTTTATGCAGGTTTGGGGAATCCAAATATAATGATGTGGCAATTGACACCCATACTGAAACTTTGAAATCGTTTGTGTTTCATAAATGTCAATAGAAAGAAAATACAATGCAATCAAATATCTATCATGTCCAACTAACATGGGGTGATGACAACTATTGATGATAAGTGTAAACTTACTCGACTAAATAAACCTCTTTTGTACTTATGCATATGTGTATGTATTTGTGTTTACAGTAACACCATAACACAGAATATATGAAACAACCAACGTAAGAAGAGTAATGCTTAAATGAAAAAAAGGATGATCCAATGAGCTTACATAGTCCCTGCAATGCGGGTACTGATATGGGTTTTCTTGTCATCATACAACTTGGCCAATCCAAAATCTGATATTTTAGGGGAGAGCTCTGAATCAAGCAGAATATTGCTAGCTTTGACATCTCGGTGTACAATTCTAGGCCTTGATTCTTCATGGAGATAAGCTAGCCCTCTTGCTGTTCCTAAGCATATACTGAAGCGTGTTGGCCAGTCAAGATGCAAATTATCATTCCCTGCAAGAATTATTCAGAGATTTAACAAGGAAAAGGCAGATAGACGAGAACCAAAAAAAGGAAACATAACACTTCAAGGATTTTTGAAGGATTACATAAATACAAATATAGGATTAATGACAGACATGTCTACCACAAAAACAAAAACAAAAAATTTTGTTAAATTACCTGAAATAAAAACCACATAAAAATTATCAGGATAACACCATCGCCCTTGTTCGCTTTATTTCATTTTTAAAGACAAAAGTTGATTATAGCCAAAGAAATTGAATTTTTACAATTATTGGTCTCATCAGTCCACATATGAACGAAGTAAACAATAAAAAGGAAATTTAAGTTCTCCATACCAAAAAGTGCCTGGTCGAGGCTGTTGTGCTCGAGGAATTCATAAACCAAAAGCCTTCTATTTCCTTCAATGCACCATCCATACAGCTTAACAAGGTTCCGATGTTGTACAGCAGAAATGGTAGCAATTTCAGTTATAAACTGACTTTTCCCTTGATGTGATCCTACTGAAAGTTGCTTCACAGCCACTATCCTCCCATCATTTAATGTTCCCTATAAAATAATAAAATTCAGTTAACACTAAAAAAATCCTCTTTTTAGTCCATAAAAATGGGAGAATTAAAAAAATACCCAATCTTCCCATCAAGTTGTTGAGCAAGAATCATGCATCATCTAACTTTGATGCAAAGCATAGATTACCTTATAAACAGGTCCAAATCCACCCTCTCCCAACTTGTTTGAAGGACTGAAATCTCCTGTTGCAGTTCTCAACTCAGCATAAGTGTAAGTGCTTGGTCGAGGGCCTATTCCAAGAAGGTCTGCGGAATCATGCAACAAAAACATAATAAGATCATAAAGGTAATAGCATGAAAAACAACTGTGAGGTATACTTGATCTAATTCTTGTAAGTGCCATCAGAAGAAATGAGGTCATTCTCGGGTACATAGTCTAACTTGGGAGAATACCTTGCATACTACCAGTTTTCAGTTCCATAAATTACCTATCATCAAGGTAATAGCATTAAAAAAAACTGAGGCATACTCAATCTAATTCTTCTAAGTGCCATCAGAAGAAATGAGGTCAGTCATGCTTATTATCTTATTAATTACAATAAGTGCTTAAATACACTCGAGTACAAGATATTAGGGCTTCAAACATGATACATTTACAAGTTCTCTTACACTACCTAGTATCCAGCATTTCAAAACACCAATCATTACCCAAATTTAGTAGTTGTGAATGGGGAACTGAGTTCATTGACGCTAATATATTTTCTCAGGTTCAATTGTTGTTGTTATTATTATTTTCATTGTGTTATTGTTGTTGTCGTATAAGTTTTGTTATTATCATCACCATCATCTTGCAATACACAAGAGTACGCTTGTTGAACTTGGGCTTATTGGTCTTCTTGGACTCTTACGATTGCAGTATGATGTTGGGTAAAGTATGATTAAAATATGCATGTATCCCCTTGTATGTGTTCATATAAATAATTAAAAAAGAACAGTAATAACAGAAGCAGTACAAGTTTTAGTGTTAATATGTGCATTACCTTCCTCGTCCTCAACATGTGACCCTTTCTTTTTCCAGTATAAAATAGAAAGTAACAATATTATGCTGATAACTCCAACAGGAACCGCAACACCAACAATCAACCCAGTCCTGTTTTTCTTTGATTGAGTTGTTGGAGGTAGCAAAGTTGTTGGAGGTAGTCCACTAACAGTAGGTGTAAACTCTGAGCAAAACAGATATTAATCACTTATCGCTGGTCTATAGCAGTAGAGAAGGGCATCTAAACATCTTGTATTTGAAAGAGGGAAAAGAAATTCATGTATATTTATCTATATAATATATGTGTAATAATCATTTTACTTAGGTTTATTACTTGAAGCAACACTGAGGGCTGAAATCAATGGTCCATAATCGCCTTGCACAGGAATGCAACATGTACCCTTCCCAGCCCAAAATAGATGAATTTCAAGATAATTCTGGGTTACAGTAGCATTGAAATTCTTCTGGACTGCTGTTTCAACCCCACCTGCCTCCTTTGATATATCAAAGTCCTTCAGTTGGCGAGTCCCCTGAAGAACCAGTCACGCGGAAATTCAAACAATTGTCTTAGTATCAGCATAATTTCGTTTAACTCCAATACTAGAAGTAAATGCAAGGGGAAAGAGCAGGCTTCAGACCAACATCATTAAATGTTGAGTTTTGTGGCATAATTACCTGAATGTAAATATCAAAAACGCGCCTCCCAAAACTCTCCCATGTACGTGTGCTTCTATCACTAAAAATAGTCTCCGCAAATAGCAGACTTACATTGTAATCTCCATTTTGTAGTCCTAAGCCATAGTATCTAAGTGAAGCCGGAGACATCCTTGAAGTCTGGAAAAGCTCTGGAGTGCTGGTGCTCCTAATTTGTGCCAAGGTGTTCCTGGTATATACTGGATCACTTCTCTCGGAAAAAATCCCCACATTGCTGACTGCCCATTTTTCTGTACTAACCATATAATACGATGCCGGGCCAAGGGAAGTAGAATTTTCAGCCTCGTACAATATTCCCTCAGCAGATCTCCTCGCTGGACCACCGCAGTTAATTGAAAAGTTGGCATCTTTGAACATAAATATAAAACCAGCAGTCATTTATCATCATATGTATTGAAGATATGACTATGAAGTTTAATAGTTGAGTTTTCAACTAATACTTTTCAATAAGAAAACCACAACCTTTCCATTAAGATGCTGGACATGAAGGAAGATCTCAAAGCTTCTCAGGTGATGAACATCTAACAATCCCAAAGAATAACAGAAAAATAGCAGACACTTTTCTCTCTGTCTCTGAAAACAAGGCTTCATTTCATTTTAATAAGGCTTGAGATGGCAAGTACTAGATTTGGTGCATACAAATAAAAATTCTTTTAATTTTACTTATGTAGGTATTTGCCTAAACCTCTTGATTATGTTTCCCCTTCTGAACTTTAATTAGAGGGAAAGTATTGGCACTTTTCAATTTAATATCCCGCAAGAAGTTAATTTTGGGATCCATAAAATGTATTGGTTGAATGAATATGCATGTAGCCAAGAGGGGTAAAGCCAGAATTTATGTAGTGGGGAAGTGGAAGGCAACTACAAGAAGGAGAGGGACAAACTCCAATACTTTTAAAAACTAAATGTAAAGGGATGCATGGGCAAAAACCTGCCCATTGACCCTTTCAATTTCTTCATGCATCTTGCATTCACAAAGCAGGTTCCAGTCTACCCAGACAATATACATACAGACATGTACATATATATACTCTCAGTCTCAGATAATGTTATGCAACTTTAAGTTGCAGAGATAAAATAACAAACAAGTAATAAAGATAAAATAGAGAAGCAGCCCTCATTACTCTACGTTTAGCACTGCCCAACCAAATATTTGAATTTGCTAAGAAATTTGGTAAAATGTAGTGGCAAAACGAAATTGTGCAAGAAGCCAAATAAAGACAGAAACTACTACAATGCAAAGTGACTTACAACGTGGACTACCCCAGTTGCAAGGAAAGTCTCTCTGCAGACAATATAATCCTGGCAAAACACTGGAAGCTCAAAGAATTAGCATTAAATTTCTTTATTTACAATGTAAATTTCAAAAATGAATGCATTGAGCTGCAGTCAGAGAAATGTGGTCACTTTGCCTAGCACCCATGCTATCTCCCAAGAATGGCTATATGGAAAAAGAAATGAAAACAAAATGACTCACTTTCTGTCTGTGCTATCCAATGTGAAGTTGTTGGCCACTAAATTCCTGTAGTATAATTCAAAAACGTCAATGGTAATATTTCCAAAGATGAAAATTAAGAAAGCAAACTCAGAATTATTATTTTTTAAGGAAAGAGGAGCTATTTTAGAATAAATAACTAGCTATTATTATTTATTTTATTGCATTGATCAGAATCCTACAGCTTAAGCAATATCTGCCATTTTTAACTTCCGTATGCTTAAACAGGAAAGAGTACACCCATGAACCATTGTGCTGGCATGAGTTTGGTTTTCACTTTTCAGGTTGTATAAGGATAGTTAGCATGGGATCTCAGAAACAAATGAACTGGGATTCTTACATGATCAATGAGAAAGTGCAAAACTACAAGCTTTGCTCCTTGCTAGGTTATTATCACATTGCCATAGCAACACATACAAGTGTGGTAATGTTACACTATACAAGAATTCTATTTCAATCCCAATAGACATATTTCTCTTCCTTATAGGTTGATCCTAGGTGAACATTACAGGCAATAATTTTGTTTAATCAACAGTAACATTTGATGAATACTAATCATATTATAGCCCTGCACATCAATAAGGTGTAAGAAAAGAAATGAAAGTTTATACAACTAATACAAGGCCTAGTCCTTCAGAGCAATCTGCTAAGCGATCACAATGAAGATTATAAACAATCATGCATCATGATTTCATAGACATACACTTGCGAATTTGGTGTTACCCAAGAAGGCAAATTTCCAGATAGTTCATTGTAGGATACATCTCTGCATTTAAAAACATATTAGCAGGAATTTAGTGAACAAATCATGCAAAGATAAATCAGAAATTGAGAAATGCATCATAGAAATCAGAAAAAAAACTAGTATATGTTCAACAACCACGAAATGCCTTATTTCACTTACTTATTGCATTTCACCGACGAGAAATCTACCATGGGTCATGGGTGTAACTAGATATGACAAGAGGGAAAAATGACTTCTAATCGCTTGCAAAGGATTTATTATTATCTATCCCCCTTATATGCCCATTGCCATAATCTTTCCTTTGATATTTCTCAATTTTCAGTAGTTACATGCCACATTACTTCAGGACCGTCTTCTCTTTCCCATCTATAGCAATAACTCTCGGGAAGAAACAATTTTTTAGAAGCTAGATATCTTTAAAAGAAGTGAAAATCACACAAATTACCCTTGAGATTTGCATTTATTACACTTCACCCCATGATTTTAGAAATTGTAAAAAACCTCTTCAGATTTTCAAGTCGACTTTCAAGCAACTCCATCTAATTATGATTATTATTTTTTTTTTAACAATGCTACAGTTGTAGAGGAGGGAGACTCCAACTCACCACCTAAGGATGCCACTTTGAGGAACTTTACCCCCTTAGATCTAAGTGCATCTAATTAGTTGACTATTACTACTAAAGTGAAATGACTTCTCAAAATTCCTCAACTCTTTATACCAAATTTTAAAGTTTATTTTTTTACACCCCAAAAAATAAAATTTAACAAAAATATTAGAAAAAAAAAACTCAAACCTCTCCTCTGCAACTTAAATTCCTCCCTTCCCCTAAACCCCTACGACCTCCACCACGAACTCACACTTAAGCAACACCACAAGTCCTCTTGTTGCTATTATGATCAACAATTATTTTTATTATTTTTATTTTTATTATTTGTTTAGATTAAGAGTTAATTAGGAATATTGTAGAGTTATTTACGGCCTCAACCATGTCTACTTTTCTAATTCATTAGACATGTGTTTTATTATTTTAGGTAACTTTCTTAAAGTTAGGAATTTGTTTTCTTTTTTTTTTAAACTTTTGGATTTTGGAGTTCCTATAAATTGTCTTATGTGCTATGATTCTATTCAGTTGATTGAATAATACACATTTTTCAAAGATATTCTCTCTCTATGGATTCACAGCATTTGATCTATACACTTAGAATCGTAGTGTTTTTTGCGCCTCTTTGCTCCGTTGCGTCACATCACCACCACCTTCAATCTAAATTCAATTCCAATTTGTGTTTTTGTGTGTATGCGTGTGTACAATATATTATGGTTTAAAATTCAGGATTCAACCACTCTAAATGTGGTAAAGGGTGCACACCATTTACCTCTTCAAAATTATGAAAGGCTCTTTATATACCTCATAGGACTTTCACATATATATATATACACTAGAGGCGGCCTGTGCGATTTGAACACCTCATTCCCTTTTCGTCATCCTTCCCTTTCCTTTCTTTTTTTTTTCAGTCGTCATCATCCTATTTGAAAAGTTAGATAGAAAATTGTAAAAAATTAAGGTGATAAAATAATTATGGAAAGTTAGGGTGGAAAAACAATATTTTTTTAAAATTTTAAATTAGTGGCTATTTTTTAAAAAAGCTTTAAATGAGTGGTAATTAAGTAGTGGAGTAGAGAGGTGGGTTATATGAGACATGTATGATAATACAATTTTTTTAAAGTCATGTGTGATAATTAAATAATTGAAAATTCTAAGAAAAAAATGGGAGGGAACGCTTTCCAAGTTACCTCCAACCTAATTTGATGGTTTTATATACATATATATATATATATATATATATTGGACATGTGGCAGGTTGCACGTGCCGAAAAGAGTTATTTGTAATGACTCTACTATAACCGAGTAAGTAGTTAGGTTATTCGGGCCGAGCTAAAGTTGGTCCGACCTAGCAAAGGGCAAGATCCGACTGAGTAGATAGATAGGCTATCTCGGTCGAGCTAAAATTGGTCTGACCGAGCAAATAGCTAGGCTATCCCGGCCGACCTAAATTTAGTCCAGTCGACCTGAGGATAAGATCCGACTAAACAAATACCCGAAAAGTCAGAGATGGTGTTAGGCGACCAATAAGGAAATCGCCTAAATCATAGGAACACATAATTAACATGTGACCTAAATCAACCAATGAGAAAGGACACCCTATAAGGGTCAAACATGAATTAAGGAATGAAAGATTGAAATTTAGGTGTGCCACCATATTCTAAGGAGAATGGTAGTCCTGAATGATCGGGGACATGCTCCCAATAAATATTAGTAAAGCTTAAAGTCTAAGGTACGCACTCTTTGTCTAGCAAATTGAATACACTTTTTCAAGTCATTACTGATTTAAGTATCGGAGTGCTTCCGGATGGTACCCCATCGATCTATGACAGTTTGTTTCTTTTGCAGGCTAAAGGCGATCTCGAGTACTCATCCCAAAGCGAATCTCTTTATTTTGATAGGTGCGGATTTTCCCCCTTACAATTGATGCTGTTACAATTGATGTTGTCTATGGGAAACGATAATCAAGTTTATTTGAGTGCTCAGGCTAGTCACTGCAATGGGAACTGCGCAACAGTAGAGAATGCAAGAATAATGTACAAACCTATTATTGTGTGAACAACACAAGTTGGTGATTATCTCGCGAACGTGTATTTCAAGAAAGGCAAAGAGAGATCATGTGCTTTCTACCTCTCATGGTGGACGTCGGCTCACGGAGCAATAGGGGTTATGTATCTTCACGTGGAAGGATCATAAGGTACTTGTTGAGGCTACTTGTTCCAATGGAATCAATTTTCATGCAACAAAATCGGTCACTTTTTATTTAGGCCGCATGAGGCTAACAAAAGAAAAAGATATTCTTTACGTCTTTTGACATAGAAGAAACCAGTGCGGTCAATCATCAGAAAAGACTTATGACGTTATACCATAGAGAGACTCAAGAGGGTCAATTAATTGATAACCAATCCAGGGGGCCAACCAATAAGAATTGCATGAGACAACTCAAAAAATAATCAGTGTACCACTTGATTTCTCTTATTCACGTTGAAGAATAATGGAGTGCTGGAGGTGGTATTTCGTTTCTATGGAATTGGTTTTTTGAACCAAGTCAACTACCCTTTATTTGGGTCCCATGGCCAACACCAGGTAATACAAATATTTAATACATCCTGCTTTGCCTTTCATATCAAAGAATACTTTCAAGGTTGGGGTATAATTGGCCTAAATTATACATAAGATCTTGAACATAGTTGAATTATCTTCATGATTTTACAAAGAAATCAAAGAGGGTCAATTGCTTGATACCATAAAGATACCCAAGAGGGTCAATTACTCGAACAGACAAAAGAGTCAACCAAAAAAAAAAAATTATTCAGTAGAGGAGTAATTGAAGCCTGCCGCTTGATTGTTGGTAGACATGACCTTCATGAATAAAGACCAATTCTATACGAAAATTGGTGAGGCAAAAGAGTTCAGCTACACATGATCCCTCTCGTAAGAATCAGCTTTTCCTAAAAAAAGCACCCGTTGATCTTAACACATGAACCAAGAAAGAGAGAGAAAAAAGAAAGGGGGCATTCGTCGCCGACATAGTATGCCACAATACAACCTGGCTCGTGGCTTAAGAGTAGGATCATTGAGCAAGTAACAATAATGGTCATTGAATAAATATTGCGTATCAATTCTGTGGTCACATATTTCCATGGAATATAAATTCACACTGGAAGAAGCCAAATACCTTATTTGA